ATAAAGCAAGAGGTTTCACTGGCCATAGAGACTATTAGACACAAAAGAGAACAATATTTGTTCACTGAGGAAGTGCGACAATCCGGAACATAAAAGACAAACCATTCTCTGGCCACAGCAGCCAGCACTGTTTGTCTGAGCCACACAGACACCCAAACAAATGACCCTGACACCCAAACAAATGATCCTGACACCCAAACAAAAGACCCTGACACCCAAACAAATGACCCTGACACCCAAACAAATGATCCTGACACCCAAACAAAAGACCCTGACACCCAAACAAATGATCCTGACACCCAAACAAATTACCCTGACACCCAAACAAATGACAATGACACCCAAACAAATGACCTTGACACCCAAACAAATGACCCTGACACCCAAACAAATGACCCTGACACCCAAACAAATGACCCTGACACCCAAACAAATGACCATGACACCCAAGCAAACGACCCTGACACCCAAACAAACGACCCTGACACCCAAACAAATGACCCTGACACCCAAACAAATGACCCTGACACCCAAACAAACGACCCTGACACCCAAGCAAACGACCCTGACACCCAAACAAATGACCCTGCCGCTACACCAAGCACTGCTGTTTTCTACTGCCCACCAATGTTTCTATTTCCCCACCAAGATTTGGCCAGCACTGTGATCTCCTTTATCTAAACCACAGTGTGCTCACTGTCAGACTCCTTTCATCTGTCCGTTGGGTAGCCAAACATTTGCTGCAGCAAATTCAGATGATGGCAAATTCAATGAAATTATTCATAATTAAAAGCATGAAAAAAAGTAAAAAAGTAAAAGACAAAAATGGAATGCCATCAAATATTTAATGAATGAAATCTGTCAGCAAACTGTACAACCAATGTATTGTTCGAAAAAAAAAAATATACAATACAAATATCAAAACATAATTTTGTAAAAATGAAAGTGCCAGTTAACAATGGCTGACTAAAACAAAACAAAAAAATCTGGTAAACAACAGGTACCAAGCCTGATAAACCAATGATGTACACAATAAAATAGTTGCAATACTCACTTACACACACAGAAAACCAAGTGAACACAGCAAAGAACTATGCCCACCAGGGAGACAACATCAGGATAACTGCTAATCTTGAACTGTATTTTCTCACTGAAAGCATCTCTCTGGAAACTGAGTAACAGAGTCTGATGAATGATCTCAAAACTGTGAGCAAACATTCTCACCATCATCATGTAGCAGGTTCTATGTAGAACATCACTATCATCACGGTCTGCTTGAACCAAACTTGGTCTCTCGCCAGCTGTCCCACCTCGCACATTTTCATATCCAAGGAGTCACTTATATCCTGTGCCAATCTTCCTGTTGGTCAGCCCTTGCCCCTCCTTCCTGGTACTAGTACTTCTGCTATTATTTTCTCTAATCCGTCATGGAGCTTTATATTCCCAAAATATGCCAGCTTCTGAGAACAGATCATGTTTATTAGCCAATCTTCCTTAATGTTCAGATTTTTTAGAAGATCATTATTTCTTTTCTTATTTCGTTATGATATTCTGAGAATCCTTTTTTTAACAGCGTTTAAAGCCTCTATTTTTCTTTCTTAGGGACTGAGATAGTCAAAACTGACATCCGTATGTTGCTACAGGGAACATGCATGCCCTAAAAATTGTAACTTTGATTTCCTTGTTGGTGTTTAATCACAGATTTTTAATGCTGTTTAATCATTTTATTGATATGGCCATCCTCCTTTTCACTTGTATGGATCAGTCTCCAGCGGCGTTTATTATGGAGTCTAGATCAAGTCTGTGACGTTCTCAATTTCTTCACAATTTATTGTTATTTTTGGGCGACAGCCGGTACAAATCAGGGCACATTAAACAAGAGAGTAAATCTATATTTTTAAAATCTCCCCCCCCCCCCCCCCCCCCCCCTCTCAATGATATCCCAGACCTTATAAATTTATTTCACGGACCAACAACGGAAGCCATTGTTCTGGGGGATTCACAAGCAGCCTTGTGAATCATGGACCACTAACCACAATGATTACTATATGGATGTTGTATATGATGGCACACAAATGCTGACCACTGTCTGGTGTTGTATATGATGGCACACAAATGCTGACCACTGTCTGGTGTTGTATATGATGGCACACAAATGCTGACCACTGTCTGGTGTTGTAAAATGATGGCACACAAATGCTGACCACTGTCTGGTGTTGTATCCAACTAATGTTACAACTACCAAAAAAAAAAAAATAATAATAGGTCATTAAAAATAAGGACCAATTTATGGTGGTGCAAAATTAAACAGGACAATAGAAACAATGACCACTCTGTGGTTTTATAGGTAACCAATGACAGGGTGATATTAAAGTCAACAGGAAACTATCAGAAATAACCTCTGTATGTTGGGTGTTGTATCTAATGTGAAACAGACTTCTCCTCTGTATGTTGGGTGTTGTATCTAATGTGAAACATACTTCTCCTCTGTATGTTGGGTGTTTTATCCAATGTGAAACAGACTTCTCCTCTGTATGTTGGGTGTTGTATCCAATGTGAAACAGACTTCTCCTCTGTATGTTGGGTGTTGTATCTAATGTGAAACATTCTTCTCCTCTGCATGTTGGGTGTTGTATCTAATGTGAAACATACTTCTCCTCTGTATGTTGGGTGTTGTATCTAATGTGAAACATACTTCTCCTCTGTATGTTGGGTGTTGTATCTAATGTGAAACATACTTCTCCACTGTATGTTGGGTGTTGTATCTAATGTGAAACATACTTCTCTGTATGTTGGGTGTTGTATCCAATGTGAAACAGACTTCTCCTCTGTATGTTGGGTGTTGTATCTAATGTGAAACAGACTTCTCCTCTGTATGTTGGGTGTTGTATCTAATGTGAAACAGACTTCTAATGCACTTGATATTTTGTGGACTGTGACCTTTTTCTTAAGAACTAGAATATCTGTCTGCAGTATTCAAATGAAGGGAAACTGTGACAACCAGGTCACAAGCCCCTTCCTATGATTAAAAAAAACAACTGCAAAGTTTGGTGGGAAGACTGAAACACAGTCACGAACTTCAAGAGACAACTTCCCTCAACAAATGTTTCAGTCAAACAAAAATATGAAGACTATTTTCTGACCTATGTTGCAACATGTGATAAAAAGTTAGTTGCCTGTACTGTACAGAACGTTGCAGAACCAACCTCTAGGCAATTTTAACATTTAGGTAATTTGCCATTGTTTTCTAAATGGTTGAAAACAATGGTCTGCAGCCAAACTGCCAGCAGCTGGGATTGAACTGGGTATCTCAACATGAGATAGATTATGATAAATATACATGTAAACTTTCCACTATTCGGATAAGATTTCACACTTTATTCAGGAACATCAGAAAATGCATTAAAATATTTCTTTTTGTGCATGTTCCAGGCATAAACCTTAGAGATTTTATACGAGGAATCTTCAAATGACCTGTCTCTATGGCTAGTCAGGTCTCTACAGACCTGTCTCTATGGCTAGTCAGGTCTCTACAGGCTTGTCTCTATGGCTAGTCAGGTCTCTACAGACCTGTCTCTATGGCTAGTCAGGTCTCTACAGACCTGTCTCTATGGCTAGTCAGGTCTCTACAGACCTGTCTCTATGGCTAGTCAGGTCTCTACAGGCCTGTCTCTATGGCTAGTTAGGTCTCTACATGCCTGTCTCTATGGCTAGTCAGGTCTCTACAGACCTGTCTCTATGGCTAGTCAGGTCTCTACAGACCTGTCTCTATGGCTAGTCAGGTCTCTACAGACCTGTCTCTATGGCTAGTTAGGTCTCTACAGACCTGTCTCTATGGCTAGTCAGGTCTCTACAGACCTGTCTCTATGGCTAGTCAGGTCTCTACAGACCTGTCTCTATGGCTAGTCAGGTCTCTACAGGCCTGTCTCTATGGCTAGTTAGGTCTCTACAGGCTTGTCTCTATGGCTAGTCAGGTCTCTACAGGCCTGTCTCTATGGCTAGTCAGGTCTCTACAGACCTGTCAGAGGTTACTCAAGGTCAAAACTGAGCATTCTTTGTAAAATGTAAAAAACGAAATTTGTTACTGCGTTGTTACATTCTTTCTAGATGTCTTGTGATCATGATATGACACATCTATGTTCTTGATATAAATTACAGTTCTGCCATAAGATTATTTTATTTTACAGATCGTTTAAAAAATCTGGCATGACCTGAATACCAAGTGTGGCAGAGAAAACAGTTTAGGAAGCACCGTGGATGCTAGCAGCACAGTCATCAAGATTTGCATGAGACTAGACTCCAAAAGCAGCTGATAAAGTGAAGCGAAATCAAGTATACAAGACAGGTGGAAGATTGTTTATTCTACACTGTATGGTAGCCAGGATATGTGTCTCACAAACAATGTCAACATCTGAACAACAAGTGTTAAAACCTCAATAACCAGTGTTAACACCTTAACAACTAATGTTAACACCTCAACAACTAATGTTAAATCTCAATAACCAGTGTTAACACCTTAACAAAATTTATTTTGTCATCTACACATTAACCTCCATCTTGTTCTTTTCCATTTCCTTTCTCTAACCTCACTCAACAAACTATCAGCTGGCATCATGTGACATGGATCAATCATAGGTATATTATAATCAAAGAAACAATGACTACTAAAACTGAAAGCACAATATTCAGTTTACGTATGTACACAATAATATCTCTGGATCACTTGACTTCAGTGTGACTGCCAAGATTGGACTGCGATGTGGATCTTCAGAACAACGGATGTGGATACTCCAGGATTCACTGCTATTTCCACTGTTCCTGAGGAACATATCAGTCACAACTGGAACAATACAATGAGTAAATAATAAAAGCTGAGACATGTTCTTGTCAGTAATACCTTCTCCTGGATGAATAAAATATTTGAAAACCTCAAAGAGAAAGAGAAAAGTCAAAGAATTAAAAAAAAATTTGACTTGAAAAAGAATAAAATCCTGGACAGATTATTGACTCTTCTGTATTCGGATGAGTTCGTCTGCCTGGCTGTCCACCACAGACAGGGAGATGCCAAACTGGGCAGCATAATAGGTCAGCATGATGATGGTGTGGGCACAGGGAATGGACACTGCAAACATGTTGATGGCAATCACCAGGTCAGAGATGAGGAAACAAACTGCCCCTGCACAGCCACACAGCTTGGTCCAGGTCCAGAGGTCATCGTAAAACTGGACACGTGCCATGGCACGCCAAGCCATGGTACAGATTAGGGTCATGTAGAAAGGAGCCAGGTAGGCCATCAAACCAGTGACGTAGATCTGCAGGTAGGAGTAGACCACAAGGCCCAGCAACAGGAAAGCAGATCCCGGGTAAGGCTTCAGCGGACGCCAACCAAAAGCCCTTGCATACATGATCTGGGCAATGGCAAAGCTGAGAAGACCCAGTTCCATATTCCCAGGGGTACTCTTCCAAACCAGAAATATATCCCCGATTGCTGAGAAAATGAGTCCGACCAGGATTCTCCTCGAGTATCTGTAGCACTCATCAAAGCTCATGCCATGAAGGAGGACAAACACAATCAGGGAGATCACTGGAAGGCACTTGACGATGCAGAAGAATATGGAAGCCTTTTCTTCTTGTCCAAAAAGAACGAAAAATATGGCAACCGTCTTGAAGAAAGGAACCAGCTTTGGTCCGACGCTCTTCAACTGAGGAATAGAAATGGAATTATGTTGAATTATCTCCTGGAAAACAAAACAAGCGAGTTCTTCTTCGTTGTTGACCAACTGTGAACTCTGATGGGAAGTTGTTCCGGCTGCTTGTTAATTTTTGGACTTCTGTCTTGTTTCAGAACCTGAGTTTTGAGAGCATATCCATTTTTCAGATGTGGCTGATTTGTATGCAGACTGCTGGTTCCTTGCATATCAGGCAGATGCACTCTGACATCAAAGGAAACTTCTCTAATTAGTTACCTTATAGGTCATGCTTGCTAGGCAGGTAGTGGAGACCGGAACACATATGGGGAACATGTCAACTCTAGATTAGACATTCATAATCTACATTCAACTGGCACTTGTTTTTTAAGGCATCGTTTTGTAAAAGACATTGTGAGATGCGTAAAGGTACCTTTTTAAGCAACTCTGAGGTAAATACCAGTCTCCCCCCCCCCCCCCACCCTCGCGAAATTTTTTTATTAAAAAAAAATATGTAATTTCAAAGATCCTGCAGCGACATGCAACACAATCTGATATCTGGCAAAACATCTACAAAGGTTATTTAGTAAAGGTCCTTGTTCTCCACCTTGAGGCGTATTAGGCTAGATGTATATTTTGTAGACCAACTGGCACTGGCCGGGTGATTGATGTAGTCAACATCAATCACGCTGGCCGCCTTTGTGTTCCAGGACTTTACCTTGTAGCCATGTCAGTCTGGGTCAATCTGGAAGTCAAGGTCATTTCTGAAACAAAAAAATCCGGCTGTGTCAGGACCTGAAACTACAACCTTCAGATTTGCAGGCGAGTGTCTAGCCGCTACACCATGGTGGCTGCCGCTTTCAAAGCTGCATGACTCCCAGCAGACATCCATCGCCTTCACAGCTGCATGACTCCCACCAAACATCCATCGCCTTCACAGCTGCATGACTCCCACCAGACATCCATCGCCTTCACAGCTGCATGACTCCCACCAGACATCCATCCCATTCTGCAGATACTAGGTCATATCTTCTAGCTCGTTGGTTGGCTTCTCTATAGATCGCTGACCTGTACACACACTAGAGGTCACTGACCTGTACACACACTAGAGGTCACTGACCTGTACACACACTAGAGGTCGCTAACCTGTACACACACTAGAGGTCGCTGACCTGTACACACACTAGAGGTCGCTGACCTGTACACACACTAGAGGTCGCTGACCTGTACACACACTAGAGGTCGCTGACCTGTACACACATGAGAGGTCACTGACCTGTACACACACTAGAGGTCGCTGACCTGTACACACATGAGAGGTCACTGACCTGTACACACACTAGAGGTCGCTGACCTGTACACACATGAGAGGTCACTGACCTGTACACACACTAGAGGTCGCTGACCTGTACACACATGAGAGGTCACTGAACTGTACACACACTAGAGGTCGCTGACCTGTACACACACTAGAAGTCACTGACCTGTACACACACTATAGGTCGCTGACCTGTACACACACTAGAGGTCGCTGACCTGTACACACACTAGAGGTCGCTGACCTGTACACACACTAGAGGTCGCTGACCTGTACACACACCAGAGGTCACTGACCTGTACACACACTAGAGGTCGCTGACCTGTATACACACACTAGAGGTCACTGACCTGTACACACACTAGAGGTCACTGACAATGTCTAGAGATCAAAGACACCAACATGATATCAAAGGCACCAACAAGATATCAAAGGCACAAGGAAGAGATCAACACACACACACACACACACACACACACAAAGATAAATGATAGCATCTGGAGATTAATGACTTTAATTATCGATAATATCCTACAGAAAAGAGATCAATGACACCCTCCAGAGATAAATAACACCAACTAAAAAAAATCAATGATACCTCTAAAGATCAATAACACTGATAAAAATCAATGACAACTTCTAGTGATCAATGACACCTTTTAGTGATCAATGACACCTTCTAGTGATCAATGAAACCCTCATTAACACACCTTTACAAATATGAACAGTATGGCACTTGAGACTGTACATACAATGTGAGTGTGTGTGTTTGTGTGTGTGGGGAGGGGGGGTGTAAGTGTATGAGTGTGTGTGAGTGTGTGTGAGTGTTTATATGTGTGTGTGTGTGTGTGTTTGTGTGTGTGGGGGGGGTGTAAGTGTATGAGTGTGTGTGTGTGAGTGTTTATATGTGTGTGTGTGTGTGTTTGAGTGTGCATTCTATTGAAACACACTGAATATCTAGACATCATTCTGATCACAGTGTGATTTTAATATAATGAATAAGTTGCCTGTGCCTATGTCTTAAACTGTGATCCTGAACTAATAAATAAAAGACATGTCTTAAACTGTGATCCTGAACTAATAAATAAAAGACATGTCTTAAACTGTGATCCTGAACTAATAAATAAAAGACATGTCTTAAACTGTGATCCTGAACTAATAAATAAAAGACATGTCTTAAACTGTGATCCTGAACTAATAAATAAAAGACATGTCTTAAACTGTGATCCTGAACTAATAAATAAAAGACATGTCTTAAACTGTGATCCTGAACTAATAAATAAAAGACATGTCTTAAACTGTGATCCTGAACTAATAAATAAAAGACATGTCTTAAACTGTGATACTGAACTAATAAATAAAAGACATGTCTTAAACTGTGATACTGAACTAATAAATAAAAGACATGTCTCAACTATGTCTTAAACTGTGATACTGAACTAATAAATAAAAGACATGTGTCAACTATGTCTTAAACTGTAATACTGAACTAATAAATAAAAGACATGTGTCTATGTCTTAAACTGTGATACTGAACTAACAAATAAAAGACATGTGTCTATGTCTTAAACTGTGATACTGAACTAATAAATAAAAGACATGTGTCTACTATGTCTTAAACTGTGATACTGAACTAATAAATAAAAGACATGTGTCTATGTCTTAAACTGTGATACTGAACTAATAAATAAAAGACATGTGTCTATGCCTTAAACTGTGATACTGAACTAATAAATAAAGGACATGTGTCTATATCTTAAACTGTGATACTGAACTAATAAATAAAAGACATGTGTCTATGTCTTAAACTGTGATACTGAACTAATAAATAAAAGACATGTGTCTACTATGTCTTAAACTGTGATACTGAACTAATAAATAAAAGACATGTGTCTACTATGTCTTAAACTGTGATACTGAACTAATAAATAAAAGACATGTCTTAAACTGTGATACTGAACTAATAAATAAAAGACACGTGTCAACTATGTCTTAAACTGTGATACTGAACTAATAAATAAAAGACATGTCTTAAACTGTGATACTGAACTAATATATAAAAGACATGTGTCAACTATGTCTTAAACTGTGATACTGAACTAATAAATAAAAGACATGTGTCAACTATGTCTTAAACTGTCATACTGAACTAATAAATAAAAGACATGTGTCTATGTCTTAAACTGTGATACTGAACTAACAAATAAAAGACATGTGTCTATGTCTTAAACTGTGATACTGAACTAATAAATAAAAGACATGTGTCTACTGTGTCTTAAACTGTGATACTGAACTAATAAATAAAGGACATGTGTCTATGTCTTAAACTGTGATACTGAACTAATAAATAAAAGACATGTGTCTACTATGTCTTAAACTGTGATACTGAACTAATAAATAAAAGACATGTGTCTATGTCTTAAACTGTGATACTGAACTAATAAATAAAAGACATGTGTCTACTATGTCTTAAACTGTGATACTGAACTAATAACTAAAGGACATGTGTCTATGTCTTAAACTGTGATACTGAACTAATAAATAAAAGACATGTGTCTACTATGTCTTAAACTGTGATACTGAACTAATAAATAAAAGACATGTGTCTACTATGTCTTAAACTGTGATACTGAACTAATAAATAAAAGACATGTGTCTATGTCTTAAACTGTGATACTGAACTAATAAATAAAAGACATGTGTCTACTATGTCTTAAACTGTGATACTGAACTAATAAATAAAGGACATGTGTCTATGTCTCCAACTGTGATACTGAACTAATAATTAAATGACATGTGTCTATTTCTCAAAGTGTGATACTGAACTAATAATTAAAAGGCATGTGTCTTGTCTCCTAAGTGTGATAATGATACTGAACTAATAATTAAAAGACATGTGTTTATTATGTCTTTTGTTTGAGTCATCCATGATTTTCCCCTTTTCAGCCTCAGACGTTACCTGAAGCCAAAGTTTCATACACAGGGTGTTCTTTGTCTGCAGCTACTCTGAGGTATGAAGTGTGACACTCAACTAATAATTAGGGACATGTGTCTATATCCTGAAGTGTGATTCCGAACTAACAATTAGAGCTGTCTCTATGTCTTGAAGTGTGATAGTGAACTAACAATTAGAGCTGTCTCTATGTCTTGAAGTGTGATAGTGAACTAACAATTAGAGCAGTGTCTATGTCTTGAAGTGTGGTAGTGAACTAACAATTAGAGCTGTGTCTATGTCTTGAAGTGTGGTAGTGAACTAACAATTAGAGCTGTCTCTATGTCTTGAAGTGTGATAGTGAACTAACAATTAGAGCTGTCTCTATGTCTTGAAGTGTGATAGTGAACTAACAATTAGAGCAGTGTCTCTATGTCTTGAAGTGTGATAGTGAACTAACAATTAGAGCTGTCTCTATGTCTTGAAGTGTGATAGTGAACTAACAATTAGAGCTGTCTCTATGTCTTGAAGTGTGATAGTGAACTAACAATTAGAGATGTGTCTCTATGTCTTGAAGTGTGATAGTGAACTAACAATTAGAGCTGTCTCTATGTCTTGAAGTGTGATAGTGAACTAACAATTAGAGCTGTCTCTATGTCTTGAAGTGTGATAGTGAACTAACAATTAGAGCTGTCTCTATGTCTTGAAGTGTGATAGTGAACTAACAATTAGAGATGTGTCTCTATGTCTTGAAGTGTGATAGTG